CGTTAGAAGAGTTAGAAGCAGAAAAACCGGCCTTGCGATGAGGTAGTTCGTGCCTGTTCATTAAATAGGTATTTATTGTGGCTAAATGATGTGCCAGCCAAGCCAGCATGGGTCAGCAGGTGGTTTTATATGGTGACTCATCTGCGAAGATGTTGTCATACCGATAGACAGGCAACTGATGGGGGACATTTGGTGATATGCCTTGGGGCAGTCAGGGGGAACCTCTCTGAGGTTAAGGTAACCGCGGAGCCCAGACTGAGTGACAGGAAAGAGTCACACGGACCACAGCTGTCTTTAGAAGTCAGTGAAGCCTGTGTCTCTGGGGTCTGATTATTTTGGAGGTCCAGCTCAGGCAGGGGCGGCGCTTTGAAAGGGAAGTCGAGTTCTTGGTTTCGAGGCCCGCTCTGCTCCGGCTGTCTAGGCCCCATCCTGACCCTGTGAGCTCTCCTTTGTGTCTGCAGGGAAGAGCAATCAAAACTGACCCTTGCAGCCCTGGGGTGCATCCAGAGCTAAGAGAGCAGCATCAAGGTCAAGGTCTTGAAAAGGAGGAGAACACCCAGGGCTAACTGGACGGAAAGGAAAGGGGTGGGGGTGAGGTTGGAAGGAAATGGAGGACTGAGGCTGTGTTTGTTTTCTCGTGGGCACACTTGGGGGGGAATGATTTAGAACTGATGGGAAGAAAGGTGGCCTGTTTCAGAGAATACCGAAATGCACCCGGTCCCCCTTCCCCACGTCGCCCTGTAAATATTTTACTATTTTTAGGCGCTGCTGAAAACACCTGCCAGCCTCTCTCTCTAGTGAATGAGAGACTCGAGACGAACGAGTTAATCTGGTGAAGCCGATGTGAGTTGCACAGACGGCCTTGCGTAAGTGCTTGGCATTTAAACAGTTATCTGACATTTAAAAGGAGAGGGACTGCTAATGAATTCAAGAGCTAATCTTATACTCTGACAGAGCGAGCCATGGAAAATCCGGGATTATTATCTTGCTGTAAACATAATGCGATTCCGGGGAGCTATCAGCAGAAGGGAGCCGTTGGCTGCATACAAATATCCATGGGAACACCCACCCATGAGCCAAGCTGAGAGGGGATGCCCATTAACATCAGGTAAATAGCTTATCATTGCCTTTGGTGCTCTTGGATTGTAGCATCTGAACCATAGACTCAAGAACGGCCCCTTAGTCATTTCTCCTCCTCCCTTGAGATGTCACGAGCTGCTCTACACACAGAGCTTGGGACATCTCACTTTAAAATGAGACTCCCAACCCAAACAGCTCCGTCTCCACCCACGAGTCCCACAGAGGCACCCCAGACAAGGATCTGTCCCGTAGGCGTCCCGCGGGGCCTCCTCCTGGTGTCTCCCACTCCTTTCTAATTGGGGTTCCCCACCTCTGGAGCTGCCGCTTAATGGCTCCGGCAGGAGCTCCTTGTCCCTCATTAAGTAGGGCTGCAACACTCCGGCCGCCTCGCCTCCCACACAGCTCACAGCCTCACTCAGCCTGAGAGCCAGCTGCCAAAAGTCCCTGGGAACCTGTGGGCAAGCTGAGCTGCGGGGAAGGGAACCGGAGGAGGGAGAGAGAGCCCGGGTAGCCAAGATTTGAACACACCCCTCCATTATCTTAATGAAAGGGGGGGGGGAGCAGCTCAGTGAGGATGCCTTTGTTGAAACCTCTGTGAAGGCCTTTAAGGGGTCGCCTCAAACCTCTGTGCACACAGGGCATCCGTCCCCTCCTGTGAGCAAACAAAAGAAAGAGCCCTGACCACCAGACCCCCCTCCATGGGCTTTCTCTCCTACTCCTGGGAGCTTTGAACCCTGCTGGGGAAGGGAGATATGAGAAACTTAGTCTCTAGGTGTAGAGGAGGAGGAGGGCTGGGATTTGAACCCCCGCCGCTGCCCCCCCCCCCCCCAAATCCTGGAAATGGGAGCTTCCGGATGAGGGCCTAGCCCGTTCCCTGAGTTTTGCCATCTAGGGCCTTGTTACTTCTTGTCTGGGACACTAAAATACAGTAGAATTTTACTACTGGGAACGGGGGGTGGGGGGTGGGGTTGGGTTGCACATGGAACTCTACTGGCCTCTGGTGACCTGGCTCCTCCAAAAGGGAGATCTGTGAGGGCCAGGGACCTGCCTCCCACCCAGCCACCCCTGAACTCCTCTCAGGCCTTTTATCCGTTCAGGTCTCCCCTGCCTGGGGGAGAAGGCGCATTCTAGGGCATAGAAGGCCACAAAGGCCTGGGAACAGTGGTTCTCAACTTTCCTAATGCTGCGACCCTTTAATACAGTTCCTCGTGGTGTGGTGACCAACCCCCCAACCATAAAACTATTTTCGTTGTTACTTCATAACTGTAATATTGCTACTGTTATGAATCGTAATGTAAACATCTGTGTTTCCCGATGGCCTTAGGTGACCCCTGTGAAAAGGTTGTTTGACCCCAAAGGGGTCATGACCCACAGGTTGATAGCAGCTGACCTGGACGCTCTTAACCACCCAGCCTCCCAGGGGGCAAAGGGTCTGCAACTGCATGTCGCCAAGTGGATCATTTCAGGAGTCTACCAGTAGGCATGGTGGGGACAGCGTGACTTTAGGCCTCAAAGGGGTTCCTTATTCTCCTCCTGTTACGACTTCTGGTCTCCCTCACTCTCCCTCCACCCTCCCTTTTTTCGAGATGGGGGTCTCACGTATCTCAGGCTGTCTTTGACTTCCCTTCATAGCAGAGGATGACCTTGGACTGATCCTCTGTTTCCGGAGCCAGGATTACAGGTGTGTGCCACGGTGCGGGTTCCGGCAGCGGTAAGGATCGAACCCAGGCTTTCATGCACACTCTACCAACTGAGCTATACCTCAAGACCTTCACCGACTTTTCCTTTTTCCTATCTGTAAGTCTGTAAGAACTGTTGGCATGCTCCTTGGTGTTTATCAATTAGCCCTCTAGCCCCCAAGCCCTGGTCTAAGAGAAGAAACTCAGCTGTTCTAGTCTTCCTCCTTGTGAGGGCTAATTTGGTGATTTTTGCCAAGTCACCGGGCTTTCTGTACCTCAGTTTCTCCACCTACAAAAAAGCGCTCACTTCTTTGTTCACATGGAGATTTTTGATTAATGAAACACAGGGCACAAGTTAGCTTCGGGGCTCCTATTATCTGGAAGTAAATCTTATCCAGGAGTCCTAATTGATATTGTCCTCAATCTAATTAAGAGCTTTGTTGACACAACACAATCCTTGTTTATCTAGCTTAGCTGGGGCTAGAGGAGAAAACTTTTGAGCCAAAAGAGAAATCTGCTCTGCCCCTAGGGAGGTCGGAGCCCAGTGTTTTCCATGAGGGGGTGTCTAGCTGGGCTTAAGGTGGACTCTTCCCTGGGCTTGGGTGAGGGCACACCTGCCTTGGACAGGGGGTGGGAAGATGGGGGTGGGGTGGGGGATGAAAACAGCTCCCTCCCCCCCCCCCCCCCCCTTGCAAAGCTCCTCCTAATTCAGGGCTCCTCCTAATTCCCCCAACTCTGTTTTGTTGATGTGACTTCTCCAGCCTGATAATCAACAGCCAGGGAACCTCAACTGGATTCTACTGTGAAAGGGTCATTTTAAATCAGTCACTAGAGAAGACAAGTTACTTGCGGTGCTTGGATTCCTAGATGGGGCCATAAAAAAAAGCTTATCAGCCCCATCATTCAGAAAGACGGTGAAGTTGAACCCGCCCCAGCAATGGGGGCCAGAAGAGCGTTGGAGGAAGACAACCAAAAATGTCCTTCCTCTTTGCTCTCCTGCCTCCTCTCCTCTAAAAGAATTAGCGGCTCCTTACACACACACACACACACACACACACACACACACACACACACACACACACCCGCCAACCTCTGCGTTTTCTCTTGCAGCATTTGCTGTGGGGTGGGGAGCCTCTTGTGTTCCTTGTCCCCCAACCCTCTGCTTCCCTCTTCCCCATGTCAGCTCCAGGCCCTGTCTGATAACGCCTTTCAAGGCAGACAAGAGGGGAATAAAGAAAACAGCAGTGGTTGCAGCCCTTCGAGAACCTTCCTGGGCCTGGCATCGTGCGAGCTCCTGGCCGGGACCCCCCGGGGGAAATACCTTCCCTTACTCACACAGGAGGAAACTGAGTCTCAGGCTAAGTAGCTTGCCTCAAGCCACAGAGCCAGGAAGCAAGAAGGTGGCATCTAAATGTGGGTTTATAGGATCCCCAGTCTTCCGCTAGGCCTCTTTGGAGGTGCAGGTCACGTGTGAACGGGGCCCTGGTGGTCCTGACATCCATTTCCTCCTGTGTAAAATGGAGACCATAACTGTACCCACAACAGAGCTGTTATGGATTGAGGGAGACAATCCTGAGTCCTTCACATGCACCCCCAAACAACCAGCTGCTATTACCTGCTATTCAGAAAGACCCTGTACGGATAACAGGGAGATGATCGTTCAGATTTGTGGGTAGGAACATGAAGGTTTGCTGCATTATTCCCTTTACTCTTACCTAAGGTTGAAACTGTCCATCACGAAAAGAAAACAGGCCAGGCGGTGGCGCACACCTTTAACCCCAGCATTGGGAGGCAGAGCCAGGCGGATCTCTGTGAGTTCGAGGCCAGCCTGGGCTACAGAGTGAGTTCCAGGAAAGCCTCCAAAGCTACACAGAGAAACCCTGTCTCAAAAAACCAAAAAAAAAAAAAACCAAAAAAAAAGAGCGAGACCTTAACTAGGCAGATGTTATGTGTCACCAGCAGCCAAGAGATCAGTACATGCGGACTTATTGAAATAATGATAGCCACATAAATCCAACTTGTAAAACTCTGGTTTTGAAATAAAAAGTAAATTCCTCTAGGAAATAGTCCTGAATTGTCTAGGGAGTTTAGAAGTGGACAGATTTGGGCCAGAAGGGAAGTTTGCCTTAAGTCTTCCAAAATCCTTTGAATCAAGTTCCACAACCAGAGAGATATTTATAAAAATGAGAGAGGACGAGGGGGAGAGGGCAGAGGGAGGGGGGAAGGGAGAGAGTATTTGCAGGAAAGGGAGCATAGAGCAGTTCCCTTCCCCTTTGAGGGAAGCACAGAAAGTTCGTCGTTGGCGTCAGTGCTGGAACTCAGCTCACGTCCTCACAAGGACCTCGAAGAAGAATGCCAAGTGACATCTCCGAATGTGCACGTGACCCAGAGCTCTTCCGGAGAGCAGAAACACCAGGTCCAAAATGGCCACCAGGAGGTGAGGGAGAATGTCAGCTCAGCTTGGTTACTGTTATCACGGAGGTAAAACACAGAGTCACCCTCCTAGGCCTGTGGGCTTTTCCTATGCGTTATGTATTTCTACGGATGGAGTTTTCTGTAACACAAACATTTTCATGCCAGTGAAGTATTTTGTTTGTCGGTTTCTTCCAGTTAGCTTTGATGTGTCGGGAGTTATGTTCGACACCAGAATTCTAAGATAAATTAGGTGACATAAGAAAGATAAGTCTGCCTTTAAAGCTTGGAAGCTTAGCTAAAGAGTTAACTGGAAGAAGGTATGGTAATGCTTAGCTGGACCCCAGTAAAAAGTTTATTTTTAAACCTTTGTACTGTTGTGGAATAACCTTTTTGCAAACCGTGAAGATGTGTCTTTGCCAAGGCGCCTTCTGGTTGGTTTAATAAAGAGCTGAATGTCCAATAGCTAGGCAGGAGAGGATAGGCGGGACTTCCGGGCAGAGAGAGAGGAGAGGAGATGAATCCAGGCATGAGAGATGCCGAGGACACCAAGAAGAAACAGGAGGTACAAGATGGAAGAGAGGTAAAAAGCCGTGAGGTAAAACATAGATTAATAGAAATGGGTTAATTTAAGTTATAAGAGCTGGTGGGACAAGTTTAAGCTATAGGCCAAGCTTTCATAATTAATAAGTCTCTGTATCTTTTTTTTTGTGTGTGAGCTGGTGGCCCAAAGAAAAATCCGTCTACATAGTACAAAACAGAGTGTGTCTACAGGTGCACGTATGGGTTTATTTTCTGGAAGGAGGAAGGCTGACAGGAACTTCAGACATCACTTGTGAAACAGGTAAGGTCTACACACAGGCTTATTCACCCCAAATCCTCTCATAATCAGAATCACAGGCTACCCTTTGAAATCCAAAAATGATGAACTTAAGCCACGTAAGATTAAATGCAAATTTATATTATAGTAAGATCACCTGAACGTACACTAGTTAGGGTAGGTGGAAATAGGAATGAGCTAAGGAAAAGGGACATCTTTCAAGTTTAACAGAACTTTTTTTGGTTTTTCAAGACAGAGTTCCTCTGTGTAGTTTTGGTGCCTGTCCTGGATCTCTCTCTGTAGACCAGGCTGGCCTTGAACTCACAGAGATTCGCCTGCCTCTGCCCTCGAGTGCTGGGATTCAAGGCATGCGCCACCACCGCCCGGCTTGATTTGCACTTTCAAAATATTCAGTTAAAGTGGGTGTGATGTTTTGAAAGGAAATGGCCCCCAAAGGGATTGGCAATATTAGGAGGTGTGGCCTTGTTGGAGTAGGTGTGGTCTTGTTGGAGGAAGTGTGTCACTGTGGGCGTGGGCTTTGAGATCTCCTATGCTCAAGCTACTTCCTGTTGCCTGCAAGATGTAGGGCTCTTAGTTACTTCTCCAGTACCATGTCTGCCTGCCTGCCGCCATGTCTCACCAAGATGACAATGGACGGAACCTCTGAACTGTAAATCAGCCATCCCAATGAAATGTCTCACTTTATGAGAGTTGTATGGTCATGGTGTCTCTTCATAGCAACAGAAACCCTAACTAAGACAGCAGGTGTGATGGCATATGCCCATAATCTCAGTGAGGCAGGAGGATGGCCAGCCTGGGGTACATAGTAAGCCCTTGTCTCAAAAATAAACAATAATAACAACAGAAAAGAAAAGAGAAAGGAATAAAAAAGAGAGGAAGAAAAAGCTGGGTTCAGTTGCTCCCCAGGGAACATTCAGTAACGCGTGTGGAAACGTTTCGACCGTCACAATAGTGGATCTAGTGAGTGGAAGCCAGGGGTGTGGCCGGCATTGCCCAGGCTGGCCCCACCTGGCCAAGTGTCTGCTCCAACCTCACTATTGCCTCGTGTGAAATCACAGATTCTAGGAAAGTCACATGTCTCGGCCTGGCTCAGACTCGCTATGTCCTGGGTGATCTTGACTTTCTGAACCCTCTCACTCCCAAAGCGCTGGTATTGCAGGCATGTGCTCCTATGCCTGGTTTTATGTGGTCCCAGGATCAAACAGAGGGCTATGTGCATTCTAGGCTAGCCCTCAATCAGCATCTCCTACCCCTAGCCACCTGTGTGCCTGTGTGTGGGGCGGGGGCTTCGGGATCAGACCCAGGGCCTTGCCCCTGGTAGGCAAACACTACCACTAGGTTATAGCCCACATACTTGCCTGTTACTATTATTTTTATATGAATTACGTCTTTTGCACATGTTTCTAACTCTCAGTGTTTCTAACTTTTAAAAATGAAATGCAACCCTCACCGAGGACAGACAGCACTATCTATCAACGTTAATGAAATGATGGAATTTTTTTTTTCTTTTTAGTTTTACTTTTCTTCTCTCACTACACAGATGTATGAACACCTCCTTCCGGAACTTTAATTTACAATTTTAACATTCTTTTTAGGCGCCGGTCACCTCACCCAACCTCAAGCCTCTCCACAGAGGCCCCGGGGACAGAAAAGGCACTCCAGCAATTGATGTCAGCGACCCACGGAGGGAAGAGCAGTACCCGGTCTCCGGAGACAACCCAGGAACTAATTTCTCTTAATCAGTTGTAGGGCCTCAGGAGAAGCCACCAGGCAAGAAGGGGAAATAAATCTGAAGGAGAAAACCAAATTCTGCGAGGCGCTGGGAAGACCTGTATTAAAAAGGGGGCACCATACCTTTAGGACTGAAGAGCTGGCAGGGCCCCATCCCTACGCAGCTATTAATATGCAAAAAATGCCTTCATAAATACTTGATTCTGCTCACAGTGGGGAGGCCGTTCATTTGAAAGGGGGAAATGGGAGCTTGGAGTTGAAACACGTCTGCGCGTCTCCCTTCTCTCTTTTCATGGCTCTTTTTATCTTCACACTCCCCTTGTAGTTTTTCTCTGACTTAACCCCCTCCTCGAACTCCAAGGAAGTTGCTGATGGCAGCTGCGGCGGCGCTCACTGAACCGATGCACCTGGCGCTGTGGCCCTGGACCTCAGGCTAGGTGAGGAAGGGGCGCCTTGGGGCCTCTTCCTGGAGATGGTGCGGGGAGGCGGGCACCTCTCCCTGGAGATGGTGCGGGGAGGCGGGCACCTCTCCCTGGAGATGGTGTAGGGAGGCAGGCATCCGCTCGCCCTTTCTGCCCTGGCCCTAGCGAGGCCGCGGCTGAAGACTCAGAGCGGAGGTTTTCAATGTTGCCGGGAGGGGGCGCCCGAGGCAGCCTCCAGACCCAGGGGACTCAGACTCAGGAATTGCCTTCCCGGTCTAGACCTGTGACTTCTCAAGGGTCACAGAAGAAGAATCCACCTTTGGGGTTCTCAGCTAGCACCATGTCTTAAAAACAAACACACACACACACACACACACACACACACACACACACACACACACACACACACACACACACACACATATGGTGTGTGTGTGTGATATGGTGTGAGTGTGTGTGTGTGAGATATGGTGTGTGTGTGTGATATGGTGTGAGTGTGTGTGTGTGAGATATGGTGTGTGTGTGTGTGTGTGTGTGTGTGATCTTATGGTATGGATGGAGGAGGAGGAAGAAGAGCTCTGTCGCTGTCACCGCCGCTGCTCTTGCCAGCCAACTTTGTGCCTCAGAGCAAGAAAGGCCCTGGTAGAGGCAGGGAAGCCACGGCTTGGGCCCGTGACCCTTCAAGGTAGGACACTGAACTCTGCCGGGTAGAAATTTGTTTCTAAATCCTTCCCAGATGCTTTATAGTAAACATGAAATTAGTCATTTATGTGGAGTGGGTTGAGGAAGTAGTTAAAATCCGAGGCAGTGATTAACCTAATAAAGGGGCCGCTAGCCTCAAGAAGTCGGGGTGGGGGGGGGAGAGGCTGGAGGAAGCCCCTCTGCACCATTCACCCCATTTTTCTTGGTTTGGGCACTGGTGGGGCTCCCTAGACTTTTCCTCATGGCTTCTCTTCTGGGGCTCCTTCTTAAGGAAGGAGGTCTAGGGTGACGCCAACAAACGGCGTAGCTCAGAAGCGAACCCCTCCCACATTTTGCAAAGCAGGCCCAGGACATTCTCAAGAGTGGGTGAACTTGCCAAGACCTTGCAGATGAGCCAGGGTTGGAGCTTAAGACCCGAAGTCTGTGTTCAGTCTGACTGCACAGTTCCGGAATTTGGTCTAGTTGTTAATTAGACTCGGCTGGGCCACTCTTTGCAGGTGATAGCAGCCTCCTCCAGGACAGCCAGCCACAGGGCAGCCTGAGCTGGGACCATGCTGGGAGTACTGGAGGTGTTTGCATGGCCTTGGAGCTGTGGGATTACCAAAATATATGGTATTTTCCTAGTCACAGTTCTATTATTGCAACTGTTATTACTTAAGGTCTTCGGATCCCCTGTGAAGAGTGTCTTCAATGGAGGCATTAAACACACACACACACACACACACACACACACACACACACACACACACACTTTTTTTTTCTGTGGTTCCTCAGTAGCAGAGAGGTGACTTACCTGTGCTTTACTTCCATGGAGGCCTGACTCAAGCCTGGCGTTTCTAACCGTGAGCGCTCAGCTCAGACACACTTGCACACAGACCCACTCCAGCCCTGACTGCTACCAAGTGCCTGGGAAGAGAGGAAAGGCCGGTGGCCCCTCAGGAAGTTGAAGATAAGAGAGGGATGGAGAACCTGCCCCTCAGGCTGTAGGAGAGGCCTGAGTCCCCTGGAGCAGTGACAGCCGGGGCAGCCTCAGGTCTCCCAGTCCCTGAATTCAGCTCTAGGAATTCTTTCTCTTGAGAGACACTGAAGAGAGCATCGCCCTCAGAGCTTCCGATGGAGGCCTACTTATCACTATTTCTGCGCACGTCTCCTTGAAACATTAGATATTCCTAGGCCACCCAAATCGGCGCCTTCCTTCTTCACAATAACCCTAGCTGTGAGTGTATGTATGGGTGTGTGTGCATGGGTATGTGTATATGTGTGTACATGGGTGTGTGTATGTATGGGTGTGTGTGTGTGTGTGTGTGTGTGTGTGTGTGCATGACTGTGTGTGTGTGCGCGTGACTGTGTGTGTGTGCATGACTGTGTGTGTGTGTGTGTGTGTGCATGGCTGCGTGTGTATGGGTGTGTGCATGTAAGTGTTGGCATGTGGATGGAGGCCAGGGGTCTCCTTTATCGTTCTCTGTGTTATTTGTTGAAAGGGTCTCTCACTGAACCTGGAGCTCGTCATTCAGCTAGGCTGGCTGCCCAGTGAGCTCCAGGGATCTGCAGTCTCCGCCTCATCTCCCACAGCGCTGCAATTACAGATGTAGACACTGTGCCTGCCAGGCTCTTTACGTGGGGTCTGGAGATCTGAACTCAGACCCTCATGCTCACGCGGCAGGTGCTTTACCGACAGAGATCTCTTTACCGACGGAGATCTCCCCAGATCCTATCCTCGGTGCTTTAAAAACAACAACAGACGTGATCGCCATTTTCTCTCCTCGCTTGGGAGGAAAATGTGAACCTTCCCCGGGTTGCGTTCATGTTCCCTTTCTGACTTTGCAGAAGTCTGGGAAAAGTCTGCTTTGCCTCTTCACACATACAAAGAACCACACAATAGACTCCAAATCCCAAGCTTGAGAGTAAAGGAACGCGGTGATGTAACAGTTTACCTGCTCATTTTACTGATGAGACAAATGAGCCCCAAGAGATAAGAGTCTCACTCAGGGTCACACAGCAAGTTAGGACAAGAGCCCCGGACAAGTCTCGACTCCAGGGCTGTGCTCATTCAGAGGCGATACTGTACCTGAGTCTCTGTTGCTTGAGTCAAAGGTGAGAAGGCTTCATAATGATCTCGATGAAGACTGGTTCTGGATTCAGTGTTTGCTACCGTGAAAGAGAGAAGGGGTCAAGGGTCAGATCCGAGTCTCATGAACTTTCATACGAACCTTATCCGTACATGCTTAGCTCATGTGCATTTGGAGATGATAAGCACAGGCGTGTGGCAGTACCAAGTACAACCCATAGTCTCTGTAGACATGTCTAAACACCTTGTACAGTGGGGCTAAGCTTTATATTCAGATTTTGATTTTCTTCTTTTCATTGGTCTTTAAAAGAACAAAAGTAGATACTTTGCGCTATTGGAATTCAGATAAAAGCTGAAATTAAAAAGGAAATATTGATGTAAATGAAACTGCTGATGCTGTTGGATATAAATTTTGTATGATCGCGCTTGGCTGAAATGGGAAATTGCTTCTGAAAGCTTTCGGGAAGAGAGCAGAGATTTTTCTCCTGCCCCTCAATGTGGAGGGTAGCAGGAGAGTGAGCCAGTGCAGGAAGAGAGGCAGAAGCCAGTGTGGCTGTGGGCATGAGGGCACACTCCACATGAGCCAAAGTGGCAGTAGCTTGCAATCTCTTCTTTCTTTTTGAGACAGCGTTTCTCTGTGCAGTCCTGGCTATCCTGGAACTCACTCTGTAGACCAGGCTGGCCTCGAACTCACAGAGATCTGCTTGCCTCTGCCTCCTGAGTGCTGGGATTAAAGGTGTGCGCCACCACCGCCTAGCCAGTATCTCTTTCTTCTAGGCTCATCATTTTCTGTGGTTCCTTAGCTTTTTTTTTTCTTTTCTTCTTCTTCCTAATGTAAGGATGGCTTCTGTATAAACTTTCTTTTTTTTCTTTTCTTTTCTTTTTTTTTTTCAAGACAGGATTTCTCTGTGTAGTTTTGGTGCCTGTCCCGAATCTTGCTCTGTAGCCCAGGCTAGCCTCGAACTCACAGAGATCCACCTGGCTCTGTCTCCTGAGGCTGGGATTGAAGGCGTGTGCCACCACCGCCCAGGCCAGGAACCAGAGCCCAGGTGTCCTGAGCTTCGTCCTGTGCCTTCCTTCCACCCCCACCCCCCATTGGCTTCACTTGGGCTTGCCACATCCCAGCTGCCTGGCCGGGATCCACCCCCAGGACAGAGCCACCCAGCTGCCTTGTGTTGCGATGAGGTTCACGTCTCAGTGACTTGGGAAAAAAAAAAAACCCTGGGCCTTTCAGAGAAGAAATGTATAAATCCTAACGCATAAGGGGAGTTCTTGCAACAGCAGGGGAATGAGTCAGTCAGCCAGAGTTCAAGAAATGTAAACACATCTTTAGATAGGAGACTGAAAAATCACTTAGGACTTCTCATCTCTTGGGTCAAGACCTTGGTAATTTACTGAGGTCTGTACTGTCGAGGAGGAGCTCAGACCCCAGCTGCATTCCTGTGAGATAAAGCCAATGGGGGTGGTAAAACTTCCTTCTGGAGCAACCCGGGGAGATCCGCCTCTTGTGCAACCCAGGCCACTGGCTGTCAACCTAGGGTGGGGCCTCTTTCCTGTCTGAGGAGCTGGTGTGCACCACCAAAGACCTCACACTGCTTCAGCCCTGCTTCCCGGCTGCTGGAAGCCGCTCACGGCCTGTCTAGGACGAACATGTCTGCCACTATTGAGATAAACAGAAAACACATTCCCTGGCTGCCCACCAGCCAGACTGATCAGATTCTCAAATGCTCCCATTAATCGAGCCGCGCGGGCTTTTAGAGAGGAGATAGCGTTCCCACTAGATAACCAGGCTATTCCGGGGTGACCCCGCCTAGAGGGGTTTTAGCCTCAGCCCCTTCTGCCTGCCTTAAATCATGGCATTCTTCACCAAACACTCAAACCTTGGAAGGTGGAGAGCGCCACTGATTCTAGCCTGGAGTTCTGCTCCTTTAAATTTCCTTCTATTTACATCTGCGTTAACAATGTTTAATTCCCAAATTGCAGTTTTAAATAAAAATGAAATACAATTATATCTACCCCCGCTGTTTCAGAGTGGGGGGAAACTCTGCTGGGACCCATCTGGTAGCAGAAGAGAAACCTAACTCCAAGGAACTGCCTTATCAGGACAGGTGGGCCACCTGGCTCCTTCTGTGCATGTCAGGGCTTGGTAAACATTGGCCCTGCAGGCTCTGAAATGGCCAAATGTTCTGCGGTTACCACGGCAGGAGCTGTTGGAGGTGCTGGCAGGAGCCTCTTGAAATCTGTTCGGGGCCTTTTTCCACACACCATTTCTCAAGAGCGTACCCTTTGATCGCCGGGGTGCTGGAGTAGAATTTCCTTCCTACCCTTCAGCATCACCGTCAGGCAGGAGATACATCTGCTGCCACACAGCCCTCAAGGGCTGTGGCCTCCTCACAGCTTTGTTCAGAAGAGCCTCGCTGGCCCCAGCAGAAAGCAGGAAGACAAGGCCCCAGTGTCCGTCCTGGTACCTTCAAGGTTTTGTGGGTTTTGGTCATAAATGGAAAATGCAAATGCAAATTCCAGATTATTAAAAAAGAAATGCTTCCCAGGGTAAACTTAACTATAAAAGGAAGGAGACTGCCGTGCTGATGACCTTTCCTTAAAAATATCTAAAAATATTTTATGTGATGTGACTCAAGATGCTTGTGACCTATGGAGTGTTATAATAAATTTCAAGTCTGTTTGTTGAATGCAAGAGACCAAGACCGGGAAGGCCTGTTGGTGATGCCATTATCAGATTCTTAGGATAAGATTTAAGGTTTGTTTACGCTACACATTTTCCTTTTAAATCTTTCTGGCTGAGAAGGAGGGTGAGATAGAGATATTAAACAATTGCTAGGGACCTGAGAAGGCCTCCAGGCTAAAGACATACCCCTGGGAGGTCCAGCTAAGGAGCCTGTCTAGAAAATATGAGTCAGTCAGAATTTAAATATGGACATGCCTCGCGGAATGTGAGAGCAGTATTTTTCTTCCAATTTGGGATATCAGTCCTTTTATTTACGTACATTTCTTAGACCTAGCTCAGTCTCTAGGGTCTAGCTTTTGGTTTGGGGAATATACACTTCTTTCGAAAGTTCATAATATTTGTTTTTATGGAGAAGTCCAGAGGTTCATGGCAGTTTACCAAGCCTCAAATGGGAACCAAGCTGCTGCACTACGGAATTTAAATTTCAATTGTGTGGCAATAAATATCAATGACTTTAGAGACCCTCCAGTGAAGAGTTGTCATAAGACTCGTAAGCACATGCTGGGATACTGTCTTTGGCTGCCCTGGATGGCCTATTTCCCACCCTGCCTTCCCCTCCATGTGCCCTGCTATCCAGGCATTACAAGTTGCTCATACTACCATCCAGGCATTACAAGTTGCTCATATTTCTCCCATTCTGCTAAGTTCCCTAACTCTCCTGAGGTCTTTCCCCCTCCCATTTGACTAGTTCCTACACACAGACATAGGAACTCTGCTATGGGTGTTTTTCTGTCCTTCCAAAGCCAACAACCTCCATCCTTCATAATCTATATTCAGATCTCATTCTACAACTGTGGTCCTCTTTAAGGCCTGGCTCTGCCTCTCAGGCACTGTATTATTGTGCCTGGCATGGGATTTGTTGCTAGCAGATGGTCATCTGGTGTTGGCTGAATTAATGAATGAGCAATTTCCTTGTGCCTTGTAAAATAACCTGACTTACTCTCTCTGTTAACATGCTCCAGTGTTGGTGCTTACATTAATTTCCAAGTGAAGAATTGTGGGGCTTAACCGTGTGATGTCCTCAGGCCACAGGGCAGTGTGAAGGAAGCCGGGGAGGGGAAGCATCCTGAAGCAATCTCTCATGGTTCAGTCACACAGATTCCCAAATGAAATGGAAAGTGATACTGTGGATTACTGGCTAATGAAAGTGATAACTTTTCGTTACTGTGATAAAAGAAAAGCTAACTTTTTAATTTTTATTTATTTATTTATATTTATTTATTTATTTATTTATTTATTTATTTATTTATTTATTTTGACTTTTCGAGACAGGGTTTCTCTGTGTAGCTTTGCGCCTTTCCTGGAACTCGCTCTGCAGACCAGGCTGGCCTCGAACTCACAGAGATCCGCCTGCCTCTGCCTCCCAAGTGTTGGGGTTAAAGGTGTGCGCCACCACTGCCTGGCAGAACTTTTTCTTATGCTCAGTGGCAAATCAGGGGACCAAGCCAAGCTCTCCTCCTCCGAGAACCGGAAGAGGAACTGCATGAAACTGAGTGAAAGAACGGAAGGGCGGAGCCAGCACATCAGGAAACTGTAACAGTCATGGTAACCATGGCTACGACCGTGATCATCACCAGCACCCTTATCATCTCCATCATCCTCTCCGTCATCTCCGTCATCTTCCAGGCAGGGCTCCTCTTTAAGGGCTGCCGAACTGCTCAGTTGTACATAAATGTAAGCGGACACAGAAACTCCCCCCGGAGGACGCCCCTGGCGAAGGGGCGAAGGTGGGGCCAGCCTCCCACTGGGCTTCCTGCTTACACATCTTGTCGTCACGTCACGTCACGTCACGTCACGGGGACGTGATTGTGTCTTTTCTCCTGCTTTTGCAACCCCTGGGAAAAGCAGTCCCTCGCACGCACACCCCGCGTTGTAGTCCCAGCGTTAGGGCAACAAGTTCCTCATTGGTGCCTCCCAACCGAGCAACGAGGAAGACCACACACGGTTCTCCTCTCCATCAAAGACTGTTTTTAGGGGGAGAGTCTCTGTGTAATCACCCCTCTCCCCCGGGTCTGAAACAGGGGCAGCCATGCCTGTGGGTGGAGGCGGAGGGATGAAGGCTTGCATCCCTCTGTGGGGGAATGAAACATGAAAGGAGTCTGGGAAGAAGGAGGGATCGCCCTCAGACCTGCACTGAAGACGCAGGCCACAGAGATTGTTTGAGACAGCTTCCTAGTCCACCGTGGTGCGGGCTGAACTGTGCTCCACTGTGGGGGCCACCCGCCTCCTTCTCGGGATGGGAGTGGTGCAGCGTATATCCTGGACCACTCAGAGGTCGTCCCCGGGGACGACCCCTCCTGGGCCAAGCTGAGTGCAATCAATTTGGGAAAAGCC